AGCTTGGTAGGGGCCGTAGGATTCAGCAAGGAGCCCTCATGGGAGCTTGGAATGTGTCCTTAGAGCTGGGGCCTCCAGAGTGGAGGTCCATATGATGAAGCAGGAGACCAAGAGGATCTCACGTCTTAAAGCATTTGTGTGTGGCTGGGTAGAAGGTGCTGTATCTGATTTACCTTCCTGGGAGGCAATGTCACTGTAAGTAGAAATGTAGGGGCTGGGCATGTGGTACACACCTATAATCCCAGCTTCCATGGAGTTGGAGATGGGAGGATTACCACAGGCAAAAACACATGACCTTATCTGAAAAATAACTAAAGCAAAAGGGACTAGGGGTGTGGCTCAGGTGATAGAGCACCTAACAGTCTCCATGTGCTGTTAGTCCCCAGTGCTGCCCAAAGAAAAACAAAGAAATGTGAGTGATGGAAGAAATGATTTTGGAATTTCAGGAGAGATGATTTAGTTACTGACCACGAGGAGAGTTCTCCTCTGGACATGGCCTCAGAGCCTCATACCAGCTTTCCCCTGCCTCCATCACTCTGTCCTGTCAATGATGAGTGTCAGTGTCACTCACAGCAGGGACAGGACTGCCATCCAAATAGCTTCACAGCCTTGAGGGCTGAAACCCATGATGAGATGCACACAATCTCCCGAAATTCCATTCCAGAATTCTTATCAAAGAGTGAAATGGAACAGAATTTGTGGTCAGCGCCATGCTCAGTTCCAAAACCACAGCTGACCAGCCAATCAGTAGATGTTTCTTAAACTCCCTGCCTCTTCTTTCCTAGCTGCAAAGTGGAAACAAGAGGGTCATGTCCTCCAGTTACTTCTCTCTTCCCTTAATGATGGTCCTCTATGCATATGCACTGATAAAAAATGACAGCAATGCAGCAGAAGACACGGCAAAGACCCTGTGCTCATGGGTCTTACATTATAGGGGAAGGGAAGATAGGTACATAGTGAAAATAACATTATTCCTATTAGGTAATAATAAATGCCATGGAGTAAAGCAGAAAAACTTGATAAAGAGTGGTAGTTCTTTTTCAAGGGGTGTTAAAGAAGACTTCTCTAAGAATAGAAATGAAGAAAGGGAAGAAATTAGCTGTGAGTATCCTGGAGGAAGAACATTATGGGCAGAGGAAGCACATGTACAAAGGCCGTGTGGTAGGGGCATCCAGTATGGCTGGAGTAGAACTGATGCAGGATGTGCTCTTAGTAGGTGAAGTCAGAGATGTGAGGGAACCAGGTGTAGGGCAGACCCAGCAAACTACAGCCATGGCCTGTTGATGCATAGCCCTCTAGGTAAGAATGAGTTCTAAATTTTGAACAGGTTGTTTTTAAAGAAAAAAGAGGGAGAATAACTATATGACAGATCATACGTGGTCCACAAAGCCTAAAACGTTTGCTGTCTGGCCTCTCACAGAGAAAACTTGCCGACTCCTGACACAGGGGGTAGAGACAACAGAGAGTGGTTTCTACATCTAAGGGTGACAGGTGCCATTGGAGTAAGAAGGTAAAGTGCTAGGGTTTACAGTTTTAAAGATGGCTCTGGGCTCCATGTGAGCCCACAGCCTAACAGGAGGAAGGAGCAGAGCTAGTGGCACAGTCAGGTGATGTACAGGCAGCACAGTGCACTAGACTGGTGGCATTGGGCACTGAGTGCTTGAATACAGAATGTATTTAAGGTGGCACAAAATGTGCTTGGGTCTATTCTCCCCTCCTAAAGTTATCATGGAAACCATAGGAGAGAAAGATCCTTTTCTTCCTCAGGGACTGACCCCTCCCTTCAGTCTCCATTTTGCAGTCTGACTTCCCTTCCTAAGGTATGGTCTTCCATCAGGACACTGCTCCAGTGTCCTGCTCACTATAGAAAAAAGTCTGTCACTGAGCTGATCAGTCTTAACCTTGTAACCACCCTTAGCCGAGTCTCTACTCGTCTCTACCTGATTCCACCTATCTCCACCTGTTCCTGTTCACCAACCCAATGCCAACCAACAAAATGACTGTAAGCCTCCACATACAATTCATCCCTCCCTCTCCTAGGCCGTGGCCTGCCCATGCAGGTTCCTCTTTGTCCCCCACATTGGTGCATGTCAACAGACTATGGTGGGCTACCTCTTCAATGAAGCTATTCCTTAACACATCCTTCCCACCCTCCTAACCTGTTCCAACACTCTTACCTCACCTCTTTAATAGGAATGCTCTTTCTATTTGTAACATTATACACACACACACACACACACACACACACACACATACATATATATAGGTGGGACTGGGATTTGAATTCAGGGCTTTGAATTTGCAAAGCAGATGTTCTTCCACTTGAGCCACATCTCCAGTCCATTTTTCTCTGGTTATTTTGGAGATGGGAGGGGGGGGGTCTTGTGAACTGTTTGCCCAGGCTGGCCTCAAACCTCAATCCTCCTGATCTCAACCTCCCAAGTAGCTAGGATTGCAGGCATGAGCCACCAGTACCTGGCTTGTAACATGGTATTTTTTAAGTTTATTTTATTGGAGATTATTAAATTATACATAGTCAGGGATTTCATCATGACATTTCCATATGTGTCTCTTACTCTTTCTTATCCCCCTCTTCCCTCCCCTTTTTCCTTCTGCCTCCAAGTGGTGCCCCTTTAACATGATTTTTATACAAGTCTTATCTCTCCTACAAAACAATGGGAAAGCAGAACATGTAGCATATGGCTACTGGCCTGTCTTTGTTAAGTCCTGACTGCACTTGGCACCTGCATGACTTTGAGCATCAGTGTGTATAGCTGTAAAATGGGATTAAGTGACATAGTCATCTTGCCCTACTATCTGAGAAGATAAAATGAAGTAGTTCACACACACTGCTCGGCATAGATCTGAGCACATCAAGTCCCAGCTGTGTAGCCAGCTTAGGAAGAACCTCCCATCCTCTTCCTCTAGTGCCTACCCACTCAATCTACGCACGGTTAGATGAGCTCAGCATCTGGCATGAACCCCATGTACATATCCCCCTCCCACCACATCAACTGTAATACATGAGGCAAGACACCCTTTTCAAGTGTCAGATTCCTCACCTAGAAGATGGATGAAGTCTTCACTTTCCTGAGAAGGGGTTCTGAGGATGGGCCCTGATGGCATGTGAGTGCCTGGTAGGCAGCACGGGTTCCATGGTGTTAACCTTCATGATGATGATTGCATAGGCTCTGCAGGAAAATGTCCTCTGCCATCCTAGCACTGAGCCTGCTTCTTGCCTTACAGCGGTGACTCTCAAATGTGACCTCTGGGCCAGCAGCATGAGGCTCACCAGGAACGTGTTAGAAATGCAGGTTCTCTCAGCACCCAGATCCAGGATTACCGAAGCAGACACTCTGTGGTAGGGACTGAAGATTCTGATGTCCACCAACAGCTAAGAGCTAGCGCCTTAAAGGACAAGCATTTGGAATGTGAAGGCTCCTGGGTTCTGCACAGTGACATCCTATTCAGTCCCAGAGGGGCACTGAGATCCCTCATCTTTTCTGGGGTCTCTGTAAAGGGACACAAGGGCCCAAAAATGCTTGTAGAAGTGCAGAGAAGAAGAGGGGCCGAGTTTCTCAGTGCCTGTTTGGGGTCACTAGCTCCTGACCTCTTAGGATTCCAGAACTGATATGAACCCTGGAGAAAGGTGTGGCCCCAGTTGACAGCAGGAAATACAATTGAGTTGTTCATTTAGGATGATGCAGCCACAACATAAGCCATCAGGAACCACCACTCAGCTTGTAAGGACACAAGTGTGTAGGGGCAATTTCAGTTAGACTGACAAGATGTGGAATTATTTAGTGTACCTAACTTTAATGTGAGGTGTTGACACATTTGTAAATACAGAAACTGAAGTTGATGCAAACCATTTAAGAAATCTGGAATTCTTGTGAAGAGTACTGCAATTCCTACATGGTATCAAGTTCTGGAGAACCTTAAATATCTGTATAGCTGTAGGAAAAAGCACAGCCACATTCATATTTAGCTGCCAGCTTTTAAAACATACCACATTTCTTTTTTTCTCTCTTTAGGCTTATTGTATGATATGAAAAACAGTCTGTTTGACAGAGTGATTCTGTTAATCAAAATAGAGTTGAAATAGAATTAGTCATGGCAGACCTCTGCCTCTCTCCCCTCCACCTGATTCTCCTCTTCTGTGTTGCTCATTGCTATGACTGGAAGAGAGACACCAGGGAGAACAAAACTTAAAGAGCCCTGGGGAGTCTACAGCTCTGAACAAAATGGTCTACATAAAAAATGCCCTTGACTTCATAGAAGGAAAATGTTGAGATTTCTCTTGGCAATGAACTGTTATCTCAGACTCTGGACTCTCTTTTTGTGTGTGCTGGGGGAGGGCATTGCCTATGCTCAGTCACATCCTAAAAGAGTTGTGTCATCAAAACATGACTGGGGACAGGTCAGCATGATGACAAGACTCTCAGGGGAGAAGGTGCAAATGTTGATGCCAAAAATGTTGGAAGTATTTGTAGGTTTCATCTCTCCATGTACCTGGGATAAGTTATACTTTTGCTTTGCATTATTCAGTCATTAGTCAATTTTGCATAGCAAGGGGGAATCCAATTAGGGCCCCACATTGGGCCACCTCTTCCTCTCAGGCCACCTTCTCCACTATCTGGGCAGCCACTGAGCAAGTGGCCCAAGTGGATCTGCTGGAGAGGCAGAGAAGACACCAAGGTGGTCTCCCCTGAGGTCTCTTTCTGCATGATTTCAGAGATCTCCCTGGTTTGTGAGATCTGTACAAAAAGGACCCCTCTGAGTAGAGTGGGCCAAGGGCACAGTGCTGGGAGGGGGAAAAGACTGCAAGATGCAGAATGTTAGTGTATGCCTGCCCCCTAAGCTGCCCTGGTCCCTAGGCTGCAGTTACATTATGTTTGTTTCTCTCTCTCTTTCTCTTCTCTCTCTCTCTCTCTCTCTCTCTCTCTCTCTCTCTCTCTCTCTCTCTTTCTCTCTGTCTCTCTCTCAACGCTGCTGAGAAGTTTCAAAAGAAGGTAAGCAGTTCCTCCATTGTTTACATGCTTCTCTGGTAGAACAACTCTGGGGTGCTGCTGGTTCTGGGAAGGAGCCATGTCTGCTGAGAGGTGTGGTCCTCACACCCTCTCCACAGGGTATTGCATGGTCATAGTCTTGAGTCTCTGTCCACCCATCAGCCAGACACTGGCTTTTGAGATGAATTCCTTGGGAGCTTTGCATTGAGTGTTTTTCTTGGAGTCTGCTCCCGGAATTTTTGTGCTGCTTAGCTGTCAGAAGCCACACCTGGCACGTGCTGATATTTATCTCCCTTCTTCCCACAGGCAGCACAAGGGGGTGGCCACCGGACCCTGCTGTATGGCCATGCAATTCTTCTGCAGCACTCATTCAGTGGGATGGTAAGCGATCCAGACATCTGCCTTCACCACTGGAGAGGAGAAGATGGGGCAGTTCAGGAAGCCATTTAACATGAGAAGCCATTCAGAACATAGATAATTGCAGTACACTGTTGTCTTAGCACTGCCTCCATGTTTGCTTAAGGCTGCTACATACCACTTCATGATGAAAAGAGCCATCTTTTGTTTACTTTGCTAAGCCAACCCCACAAAGTACAGGGCTTGAATATACTAGATGCTCAATGAGTTATTGTCAGATTCATGATAGATCAAACAAACCGTGGAGGGGAACCAACATAGAAGAAAACCAATCAAATGGGATTTTTGTGACATTTTTCCTCTTTTGCCCAGCTCAAAGAAATGCAGTGATGTCCAGGGCATTCAGTCCTGGGAGAATTTGAAGGTATTATATTAATCCAGAGTCAAGGGATGAGGCAATCACAGAAAGCTGATTGGGCTACAGTTAATCAGGGATTTAGAACCAGAATGACTGGAATGGAGATAACTCAATGTAACCTGAAAAAAAATGCAGACTTTTAATAAGTATGATAGTAAAATACAGGTAAAAAAGATCTTTTGCAGGGAACATTGAGAAGAATATTATGATCTCAATCAAGTATGCATGCCAACTCCAATAACATTTGCTCTCCATCCCTAAGTATGTTATTCTCATTTGCTGTCAGCCTGAGGAAGATCTGTCTTCTTTAACCTTATGGGAAACTGAAACACTAACTTGAGACCTTATTTTCATACATTTACACCTGCAGCATGCAGGGTTCTTCCCCAAAGCTTGAACTGTCACATTGTCATATTGGAATTAGCAGCTAGTTCTTAAATAATTTATTTACTGCAGTATTTTTCCTGAGCACTAGTAGGAAGTTGACCTTTCAGCCTGCTTGTTTGTCTGTTTTAGTGCTTTGTGGCAAAAACATAAAAATGGCCAAGTGTATCTGAGCAGGCTATGGGAACAGGTTGTGTGGGAAATGTGTGCCCTGACATACTCTGGAACTGAGAGGCAATTGTCTATCTTTAGAGTCTGTTGCTTGTCCGTAGGGCAAACAAAACCTTAACACTTCTTTTTCTACCTAAATAGAACAAACAAAACTTCCAACAGCATGCATCTCCTGACTTTGAAAACTCAGGCTGACATCCTGGTAGAGCTATGAGGGGCTTACATTACTCACGGTTAAATTTAGTCCTCTTTAAAGTCTGGTTCACAGTTATCATAAACTCTGCGCTGGTTGGTTCCTTTTTACAGAAACTCTGGGAAAGCCTATGAAATATGGTTCTGTGCATTGCAACAGTTTCCCTCTCCTTTTTGTAGAGAGCTAGACATTGGGCTCAGAAAGCCCATCCCCAGTGCTCACTGGCCTCCCACTCTGACTCCAAGGGGTACTATGTGCCATCCACATAGGAGGCAGGGAAAGCCCCTAGTTTCCTTACTTTATCAAGCTGCTTTAAAAATCATTTTTAATATTTCACCCACACATATGTCTTTATGATCATTTAAAAAATAAATGTTATTTTGAGCAGTTTTAAACCTCACAGGAAACATGGGAAACAGAAAATAAATAGGGGAATCGTATATGATTCTCCACCTCTCCCCAACAACCCACTATCCAAACACAAACTTCTGTTACCACTTTTGTATGGCATGTAACTGCTAGGCATGTAAACTTTGTGTACATGTTAATTCTACAGATGTGCTATTTTATATACGACTTGTTAGCTCAAAGTTCCATACTGTTGCATATTTGTGAGGATTACTCTTAATGATATAATATCCCATAAAAGGGAAGTACCAAAGTTTACCTAGTCTTTCCATTATTGTTGGTCTTTTACGTTCTGTTTATATTGTTCCCAATTTAAAAGTCTCTCAGTACTTTTGAACTAAAGCACTTTAATATTTCCAATTCATTTCTATAACATGTAGCCCTACAAATTAAATCACTAGATCATCAGCTAAGACTACCTTTGAAGTTTTCAATACATAAAAAATATTTTTCAAATGTACCAGTTAACTGTCCAATGAACAAGGTAAGTGACTCCACTCCACAGTAGCTCATTGTTGAAACTGGTGGGGCGCTAACAATAGTGGACTGCCAGATCCCTAGAGGAATGTGGTGTCACTAGCTTCTTCTCTTGTTTCACAGTATCTAACATGCTTGACCACATCGAGATCCCAGACAGATAAGCTTGCCTTTGACGTAGGTCTACAGGAACATGCCACAGGTAAGTAACACTCCTGCCCACTGAGGTCTTATGCTAAGAGCTTTTGAGAAGGGCACTGAATGTTACTCTTTTAGGATTCCAGACCAGCCAGGTCAGGAAATAGGACTGATAAAATTTTGGAGAATGAACTAAAGAAAGAATGTGTGAAATGTATGGAAACTAAGAGTAAGAGGAGCATGGCACTTTCCTCTCAGTTACTAGAGTCTCAAACACTGGGTTTTTTTTAGGGTCTGGTACTAAAAGTCCTGATAAGAACCAACAATAATAAGTAACTGCTAAGAAGAAAGTAAAGGCAGCATAATGGGAGCTGAGTAGTGAAGGATAGTGTCTACATTAAAGGAACAATCCTGTTTCATTCTCAGTAAGCAAACTATTTCTAAAGCAGTTTCCCAAATGTCAGCCAGTGCTGGAAGTGTGGCTCAAGTGACAGAGCACTTGCCTAGCATGTGTGAGGTCTTGGGTTCAATCCCCAGTACGAAACAAACAAACAAAATACCCCATCCAATGTCAGTAAATGATATCCACCATCGTCATTTTTGCCATTCCAGAGTATCACCTTTAAAATCACTTGTTTTTCTTTAAATTTACGTACTTTTGTATTTAAAATGTTACAGATAAAACTTCTCTGTCATTCCCATAAGTAGAGAATTGGTATGACTTACTGTAAAGGAAATATAAGGAAAATAAATTGAAAAATAATTGAAAAGATGCTGGTAGGTATTGGAAAAACATTATTTATACTAGTTCTAAACTTAAAAGTTTCTCTGATAGAATTACATTAGAAGAGTTGCAGTTTTTTCTCTTAAAGTTCTCACTATATGAATCAATGTGAGCTGTCTTCTACTACCAACTATCATATACTTTGAGAACCATTAACTATAGTCAAAAATAGTTAATATCGTTAAAAGGGTTGTGCCAAGAAAGGTGGTGACCATGGTGGTGTAGAGTCTCACTAGAAACCAGAAAGGGAGAACAGAGGAATAAAAAACTATCTACAAACATCCAGGAAGTTATAGCATCAAAGAAGGTCCTAACTTCCTGTGGGGTGTTCCAAAGACCAACAGAGCAATGGGTAAAACTTAGTAATAGCTGCAGTTAACCAGAAGAGGAACAACTGGCCTGGGGATGAAGCATCCCCATGACTGGAAATAGTTGTGGACCATCTGACCATCAAGGGCGTTAGATCTGGATTTTCACTGTATAGAGGGAAAGCTATTACCAATCAGGATTCTTGGTGCTGAACAATAGAAACTGATTCTGATTAGCTCAAGCAAAGTAAGAATTTACTGAAAGGATATTGGGTCAAATCTGCAGCAAAGCTGGAGTCCCAGGTTGGAAATTGGGCAGGCCAGGAGGAAAAAAAGACCAGGGAAACAAAAATAACCAAGGACATACTGCAAGAATGTCTAACTAAAATATGTTCCTGATATCATGGCATTTCCCCCAAATAGGATGAGGGTTCTTATGCTGGGTCACCAAAGAAAGACAAAGGTCTATGTTGTTATTCTAAGGGTAAGTATGTGTATAAATTAAGGATCCAAATTGTCTGATTTTATAGGTGATCAAGAAAATAATCTGGGGTCTAGACCATGTATGTGCACCTGCTGCTTCTGTCTGCCCAGTAGTATCTTAGGAGTCCCCGAAGGAGAATCGCTTTCTCTCTGCTCTTCTTACTTATGTGCAAAGCAAAAAGTGACCCTGCCTCCACCATTATGAGCTTTTTTCCCTAAAATAAGATTACATGCAAATTTGATTTGCAGTTTCTTTGTTTTCAACTAAGGTGTCTTTCTTAAAATGTAATTTCCTCTAAAATGTTGTCAACCTTTGCTGAAATTACAAAATGAGTGATGTGCCATGCTGTGAGAATGTCTGCCTTTATATAGAAACCAGCTGCCAATCTTGGAAAAGTCATATGTGGTCATTTTATTTGTATCACTAAAAATGACTTTATACTTTCTGAAAGTTGGGAAGAAATTGAGAAATACCACTTTTCACTCAATGTTCAGGAAATATGTTTTAGTTAACTATTTGAGCCACCAAGAAAAATGGAGGGAAAATACCAGAGAATATTACTCTTTTCAGCACTTTTTTTCTGAGTTCATGAAGTCAAACATAGTGCAAACTATGCCAGCAGACCAGGCAAAAAAAAAAAGCTGGGTCTTGATTAAAACTAGAACCTGAGATCATTCACCTTAATTTCACCTCCCATACCCCAACTCTTCTTGTCTTCTTCTTGAATAAGACTGGCTTGATGAGAGTGTGGAGACAAGAGTGCAGACAAGTCAGGGAATGATCCTCGTTCCCTGAGCTGAGTCTCCTCTCTGAGGAGGAGGTTCACAGGGAGCCAGCAGGACAGGATCTCCTTTCCTGACTAGGTAACTCTGTAAACACACTTTTAGCCCAGAAACTTCCTCAAAGTTGTAAATAAGCAGAATGTTCATGGGTTGAATGTCAAGGAGAAAATTTGGGGAGAGCTTCTTCAACAATTCCAGGATTTCCCCCTATATACCGAATAATAAATTCTTAGACTTAACAGAATGGATGATTACTTTACCCTTGATTTTGTTTACTTAATTCTTTCCATGTTCCTTTTAAAGAATTTTTTATTATTTTGATTTTAGAATTTAGATATAGCTTTAGAATTTAGACTTAAGAAGAAAGAAATGTAAAACAAAAAATAAAATTCCTACGTACACACATTCTAAAAGCATGGTCTGCATTTTAAGGCCAGTGACTGGTCTACCCTATTGATTCAGGGAATGTCTCCATTCCTGGGTCCAGAGCACAGGAGATGGCAGGGGGAAAAACATTCTTCATGCTGGCTCACAGAGTTTATAAAGGATGTATGGATCATTTTTCCCCTTTAGATGTAGAGGTCAGCCTCTTGTCATACAATTTTAAATTTAATCAAAGTAATAACACGTAGTTTAAAGAGATCATTTGCGCTCTGAAGTTTTTAAAAGCGGCAGCCCCACTGGTTCCTGCTCTGGACTCTTCCGGGCAGCTACTTTCAGCTCTTCAAGTGTGCCTTTGTTAACACATCTATACCACTGTTTTGTTTTTCTTTCCAGATTGGGTATTATCTATTGATGTCCTGATAAAAATTTAGTCTTGTCTTTTCTCCCTACCCTCCCAGTATATTTACATCTATATTTATGTAACCACCAAATCAGTGATGACCTTTTATATTTATTAGTATAACTACAACTTTCAACTGCAAATAAGCCACATAATATACTGTAGGTCAAGTTTATTGTGTTGCTTTTGGGTTTTCCAGTAGTTATTAATTTCCTTTTTTGATGAGTTTTCTTTGACCCAATCATTCATTCGTTTCCAAAGTTTCCTGTAGAACTAAATATGTCTCCTGGTCAGATTCAGTCACGTCATCTCTTCTGTTGGTTTTGTTGTCTTAGAAATATCTGCCATCATTCAAGGAGTTCCCTTTGCCTCTTTGCTAGACTCCACGTTTCCTGGATTTCATAATTTTTTTTTCCCTTATTGGTTTACTACTTCATTTTGGTGAGGCACACTACCCTGTAGTTTTCAAAAAGAAAAACTGCATATAGAAAGTAAACTGTTGTCTGAAAGTTTCTTAATTGTAACTGCACAAGTAAGTCATAGTGTAGTTTAATTCAGCATTGAAAATACATTTTTTTTCTTGGCTTCCTGAGGCTTTCTTTCAGCTTATGGTCTGGCTGTTGAGAAAGAAATCTACATTCTGATTCCCGATATTTCCTGTGTGACCTGTTTTTCTTTTCTGAAGGCTACTAAGATCTTTTTCATGATTTTTACAATCCCACAATGTGTCTTGGCGTGAATCTGTTCAAAAAGTCTCCCAAAGATGCATCTTGGTATGGGTCTCTGCCCTTCACTGCGTTGGGGGCTTTCAATTTAAAAATGCTTGCTTGTCAAGGGTTGGTGGCATGGCTCAAGTGGTAGAGCACCTGACTAGCAAGTGTGAGGCCCTGAGGTCAAACCCCAGTACCACTAAAGGGAAAAAAAAAACAAAAAACAATGTTTACCTTTCAGTGCTGGGAAAGTTGTAATACCTACTTTTTTTTATTAACTCCCTGTTCTTACTTTCTGAGATTCCTCCGGGTTGGTTTTCTACTTCTCTTTTTGCTCCTATTTCCAATCTGCTTTTCTATGTTCTTTCTGGGAGAAAGTTTCAACTTTAGCATGCAGTCATCGTTTCCTCTTTTTTTCAAGATCAAACAGTATTTTTCTTTTTCTCTGAAGGTGGGCTTCATGGATGCTTTCATGCTGTTTCATGAATGTAACTTTTTCTCTTATCTAAAATTAATTCTTGTAAGATTTTCTAAAGTCCTTTTGTTCGCCATCCCTCCAATCCCCCCTTTTGTGATTTGGATTTTTGGCAATCGTGGTCTTTGTTCATGCTTGGGTCAAGGCACTAACAGCTGACTGTCAGAGACCTGGGTACTCTTTTACTGGGGTAGTTTGGCTTCCCTAAAAAGCCATCCTCAAGTTCGGGGAGTAGGGATGGCAAGGCTTTGAAACTGGCCTTCTAGAAGCTGAGGGGTGAGACAGAAGGCAAAAGGCTGGGCTGTCACTAATCACGTGTAAACTTTAGCTCTGTTTTCAGGGAAACTCTACTTCCTTGCTCTACAGTGCCCAGTCTTTCCAAGCCCAGGTCCCTGGTGGTATTGGATTCCATTGATTGAATTCTGCTGTACCTTAGAGGAGGAAAAGTCCTCTGTGGGTTAAGGAAGGGATCTGGGGTTAGAATGTCCTTTAAAGGTTGCAGCTGCCCTCCTGTGTTCAACCCATCTTCTGCTGCCTTCCCAAGTAACTTTACCTCCAGTTCCAGAGATGGGCCTTTAAATTGGTGGCTGCTTCTCCATTTCTTATTTAGACACTTGAGGTTTGGCTTTCTCTTGGCAAAAAGGATGTATCTTCTTTCTTTTTTCCAAAATGTCAGTTTCTCTTCCTTGCTATAAGTTTCTCAGATATCTGTTATCTTAATCCTTGTAGGTTTGGACCTTCAAAAAAACCTTTACTGTTGTTTTAATAGTATTTCATGGAGGGTGGAGAGCAAAAGATAAAGTGTTTTAGTATTCAGTAGACCAGTGAAATCAATCAAAACAAAGAATTGAAAGGGACTGTGGCTATTTTCTATATGCCTTAAAAATACTCAAAGGCTTCTATGCTTTCTAGCCTCTGGTACTCTTTCCCCAACCCTGTCTGTCTTCCTTTCATTAAAAATGAAAATAATAGGTGTAGTCAGGAGATGTATGAGGCTGACTAGAACAATTATAAGTATATAGAAATTGGAGTCTGTAGTGTATGTGTAAATGTGTGAGTATGTTTGAAGGTTTAGCATCAGGAGGAAGAAGTATGAGGGGCAGTTAGGACATAGTGACTAACTCTAGGAGCCTTCATGTAGGAGAAGCCTGTTGGTGGACCATACATCCTGCTTCCAAACAGAGGTCTGAGGGAGAGAAGGTTCGGATTGGTGATGACCTAATCCTCGTCAGTGTGTCTTCTGAAAGATACCTTGTAAGTACCTCCTAATGCAAGTGTCTTTTATTTTCATAATTTTTCCTTTAGGAAAAGGTAGCCAAGGGGAACTGAGGTACAACAGTGTGGGCAGGATAAAATGCCTTTACGGAGTATGTTTGAGAGATGGTTGAATCCTCTCCCTTGCATGGAATTTAACTGTTACCCTGTTGAGTTAGAGTGCCGTATCCAGCAGATACGGCACTAAATGCCCCAGGAACTATTACATTAGCTCACATCACTGTGAATTTATCACAGTTTGGCTCTTGTCCAGTGGAGAACAAACCAGAAAAAAAATGGAGTACAGGAAAATAAGGGTTTGTTGGAAAAAGAAGGAAAATTTAAAGTGTGTTAGTGCCTGGGATATTGCAAAGGTTGGAAGATACAGGTGAGATTTTACTGCTGGGCATGGACCCAGGCAAGTGCCACTGACACCAGTCCTGTGGCTGAGGGTGGGGTGCCTGAAGAGAAATGTCAAAGGCAAGTGTTGAAGCTTCCTAACAGTTCCTCATAGAGCCAACCCTGTTAGTGGACTTTACTTTGTCCAAATACAGGAGTTGTGTTTCCCATCTGTTAGTTTTTTTTACTCTACAAAGAATGTATATTTTTTCATTTGGTGTTGAATCAGGAGTCCAGCTGAGGGGAATGAAGTCAGTACTTGTCTGCCACCTCTGTCACTGTATTCTTCCTTTTCCCAGAATAAGGTGTCCCACTTTGAAGCTGCTTGTAGATTGGGAGGAGAAAGCTCCCACAGACTGTGCAGAAAGAGCCAGACAACAGAAAGGCTGCTTAGTTTAATCCTTGAAATTGCAGGTGAGCTGCTCAGTCAGGACTGGACTGGTGACTTAAAGCATCTTTCATTTCTGTTTCTGCTGCAGCATCTGTCCATATCCAATGGCAACATCCAGGTGGACGCCTCCTTCATGCAAACTCTGTGGAATGTGCATCCTACATGCTCAGGAAGTAGCGTCGAGGAAGGTGTGCTGCTGCTTTTATGCATTCAGGCCTGAGCCTGCCAGTCTCTCTTGTGCAGTGTACATTGATATTGTCTGCTATTTTGCAGCTCCCACCTCAATGTCTTGGTGCATAGGTAGCATGATTTTAATTCATCATGGTTTCCATTCTGAGGTCAGTATGAGTTATTTTCTGCACTGATCCATGAGCATCCCTGGTCTTATTTTTTAATCCTTTGGAATACACAATTAGTTTATCACAAGATGCAGGACTTGAATAAGCACCTTAGTCTCTGACAGAGTTTTCATTTTTATTTAGCAGTGATAGTTACAAGTATACAGACCCCAGCAACTTCTGTCTTAGAAGGGGGAAATTCACCAAGGAGGTGTCATGGTTTCTGTCTCTCTCTGTGACTCTCTCCATCCAAGGGAAGAACTTTCTTTATAAGCAAAGTGGCCATTTGTTTTATTTATCTTTATGGAAGACCATTTAAAAATCATATGCAAAAGCTTCTCAGTATTTTATTTTCTTTCCTTGGAAGTAAGGTCATCCAACTTTGTTCTCATATCCTATTTCTTGGAGCCAAGAGAAGTCAAAGCGCATTATGTAATAAACATTGGCCTTCCTCTCATATAGGTAACATCACAGCTGAGCAGAATAATAAAATGTCAGTGACCTGTGGGTTACTGCATTCCATTCAAGTACTTTACAGCAAGATCAGAATTTTTTAAAAATAGTCATATCACAGGCTTTGACCCTATTTTTCTTCCTGAGCCTCATAGTTTCAAACTGGGAGTGCCCTTCTGTGCTGTGATGTTTGGAAACAGGGAAAATGAGAGTTGTCGAGGTGACACCCAGCTTCAGAAGGCATCAGAGCCAAAGTGAACGCCTGGGGAATGACAGACTCTTAACTCTTTTTGGCAACATGCAGAACATTTTGAAACAACAGATCTGTTTAGCTCCTTCCTTGAGGCCAAGGCTGACCCACCACTCTATTCTCAGCCTTTCCCTTTCTGTCAGGAATCAAGAAGTCTGGATTTAGACTTTTTCCCTAGAGAGCTTTGATTTGATCTCCATTGGTAACATTTTCATTTTCACTATAGGAGTAGAATTATCTCTCAGTCCCCACACAGGCTTGTAGAGATTAAGGAATGTTTGCAAATCATGTCAAAAAGGTCCTCATAGAAGTATCCAGTGCCCTTGTGATGATTGAGCTGGGACTGCTCAGCCCTGGAGCCATCTGGCTCTGTGAAAAATGTCCATTCAGCCTCTGCTAGAGAGAAACCTGTTTCAGCCATCAGGAACATTAGCGGCCTCACCATGCTACTGCTTTCCTGATGGTGGCCCCATGTGCTTCAACTAAGGACAGCTGTAATGGCAGTTTTCTCCTGTGACTGAAGTATTGATTGAAGAAGCCCATGGACTATTGATGAAGGATTCCAAATGAGGCCTGGCCTCACCATCAAGAGATGATGAAGAGTTTACCCATAAGCTTGATCACTGAGGTTTTCATTTTCTAAGTAAATTGTCAACTAAGAACTTCCCTACAGTCTATCATGAATTATTTTTAATGCAAAAATATATTGCTGGAAATGTTAATGTAAGATATTGCAAAATTGGAAAAAGACTTCTGAATATTTAAGAGAAGCTTGAGAAAATGTCTCCTTGCCCTGGGTAGTAAAAAAACAAGGAACATCAGACTGTCACTGCATGAAATGCATTGGAAATGTACTTTTTCCTCTGCCATGATGTCTCATTCTTACTGTTTTAATACAGCACCTAAAATATTTTAAGACAGTCCCCCAAGTGATCTAATTATGTGATTTTTTTAAAAAAAATTCTAATACAGATAGTGAGCATATTAAGTCCATATGTCTCCCAAGAACACAGTAGCCTGGCAAATTTAATTCAGAGGAATAACAAATCCATTTCTTTGTGCAAAGCAGGCTCAGGCTAGGGCTCCCTCCTGCTACTGTTCTTTGAGTTAATGGCCACCATGCCCTTCTCAGTATTTCCGCTCAGCATCAGCGCTCTATGACTACTTAGGCTCCTTCACTCTGAAAGCTTGGGGCAGTGATTCTGCTTCCACCTTTGTGCTGCTGCAGGAAAGCCACCCAGACATGAGCTGAATGTGATAAACACACACACGTATCTGAAAACTATCTTCTCCCCAAGAGCACTTTGCTACCCTCCTTCCTAGCACCTTTCTCTTCTTCCTTTTTGTAATTGTGTATTGTGATCATTTATATAATGTATGTTGATCATATCCACCCCTTTGACTCTTACTCCACTCCCCACTTCTCTTGCAGTTTTAATGTGTGTGTTCTGTTTTCATATGTGCATTAATGCACTTTGATCACATCCACTAGTCACCCCTTCTTGCTCTCTCCCTTCCTCTGCTGGTTCTTCCTCCAAACAGTCCCCCTTTTACATTCATGTCCTTGCTTTTGTTTTATTTTGAACTTTAAGTTCTGGATTCCACATATGAGAGGAAACATGTGCTATTTGTTCTGGGTGTGGCTTATTTCTCTTAACAAAATGATTCTCCACACCCTCCATCCATTCTCCTGAAAATGACATAATTTCATTCTTTGATTACCTTCTTTTCTTTCCTATGATTGTATTTTGAATTTGCCACAAAGAATATACAATAAGATTATGGGTCTTTATCAGGGGAATTTAGTGTTGGATATATTTATGTCCTAAGAAATTAAAAAATCCCTAACTTTTGAACACTAGCCACTTAATTTTCCTTCTATTTTTTGTTGTTGTTGTTGCTATCAATTGACACACTTTTTTCACCTTTCCTTTTGATGTTTGCCTTGCTCATCTCTAAAGCCCTATTTCACTTTTAGTGTTAGAATTGTTTTGACTTTCTTATCTTTTCTGCCTGAGGCCTGAATTCTTGGAATCTGTAATTTCCCAAGTGTATCTCTCTTGCTGTTTTCTGTAACTGGCTTAGGCCTGCATGAATTTACCCTTTTTAAACAAGGCATTCTCTTTAAGCTTCCCATCAGTTCATGGTAGCATATCATTCTCTTATAGGGTACCTACTTGGTGGACATGTAGTACGTCTTTTCCATGGCCACGATGAGTGTTTAACAGTTCCATCCACAGACCAAAATGATTCCCAACACAGGTAAGCCAGTGGCTTTCTCCTTCTAGCTGTCTCCAATTTCAGGTGACTCAAGCTAAAGACTGTGCATTTGCATTTGGGCATGGATGAATTCTGTAGGTGTGGCTCACATGACAGACCTTCCTCCAGTCATCAGTTCCAGTTTGTAAAATAGGAATGGCATGACCAGAGCTTTTGACTCTAGGAAGAGCTGTTTGAGCATATTCTTCTTCTTAGGGAAGCAGTTCTAGAATGCTTCCCAAGACATTCACTTTGTTTGGTTGTCCCTGAGTCTGAGGAGTTTCTGGTAGCATTAATTGTAGGCACCCATTTTTGGTGCTGAAAATCAGCATCTCATTCTAGTGAGGCTGTGGGTTTATGCTAATTATTCTGTGGGTTTATGCTAATTATTCCCTAGGCCATCTCTATCTCACATTTGTAAAATAGGAATGGCATGACCAGAGCTTTGACTCTAGGAAGAGCTGTGTGAGCATATTCTCTCGGTCTTAGGGAAGCAGTTCTAGAACTTCTCCCAAGACATTCACTTGTTTTGGTTGTCCCTGAGTCTGAGGAGTTTCTGGTAGCATTAATTGTAGGCACCCATTTTTGGTGCTGAAAATCAGCATCTCATTCTAGTGAGGCTGTGGGTTTATGCTAATTATTCCCTAGGCCATCTCTATCTCACATTTCATGTATTTAGTAATTAAGGTGGAGTTTGTTCATTTAGGTTTGCTAACCAAACCAAAACATTAGTGTCCAACAGCAGCTGGATTTAGCAGGGGTGGTGCCAAGGGCAATGGTTAGAGATGCTATTGAGGTAACATCCACTACTTGATTTACTACTTGACCCCTTATGAATGCTTATCAAAAATTCAAACCTATGAGATGGAAGACATTAACCCAAGTTTTAAATTTATACTGAAGAGTCTCAGAGTATTCTTTATATCATCAAAGGAGCAGAGCATAAAATTCTTGGTCCTGTAACTATAGAAGTCTCACATATTAAAATTAAATCTTTGGCCCAAATTAGATTGAATTTGGAACAACAGTGAGTCTGCTCTGGTGACAGTGGTTTCTTTTCCTTTTATGCCAACTGCCTTTCATGTACTTTATTAGAGACATGGGCTCAGAAATCTTCACAATTTGGAGATTGCCTAGCCAAGGCTCCTGTGGAAGGTCATACCCTGACTACTGTCAGGTGGGAGTCTAGAAACCAGAGCTGTTGACTCTTCAACAGAGCTCATTGCTTATTTGGTGTACTGAAGGACCCCAGAAACAATGTGTTTAAATGCATTACTGTGCATCTTAGACACTGTCGACTGGCAGTGTCTTACAGTTCTGAGTCTATTCCTACTTGCTGCATCACCTGAATACCCATTCACAGGAACCCAGCTATGACCTAGATCAGTGTCTTGGACACACAGAGCCCAGATCTATGTCAAGTGCCATCACTAATTCACTCCCAGCCACCTGGGCCAGTGATTAACACTTTTCTCTGAATAGAGAAGTTAGTAGGTTGACCTGATTTCCTTCAGAATTAGGGATTCCTACCCTAAATATTGTCATGTGGTCCTTTTCAGGTGCAAGATTTTTTCCTTTTTTATTTCAAACAGTGAGGCTATGCAATATCTTCCTCCACTACATCATGGGGGAAATTTGTGGACAACTAAAGAATTTAAGTCTTGTGACTGAATTTGGTAGCATTATCAACATCTAAGACAGGATACACTAAAACTTCATTAGTTCTTTCTTCCCATTCCTGTTCTACTTTCAACGTAGGAATTTGGAAAAAGTGCAGTACTCTGTCCTTGAAATTAGGACTACATTAGACACTATGCTGCAGGTGTTTAAAAAGAGAGATGGAGAGATGAGGTAAGTGGAGAGCAGTCCCCAGTGGGCTCACTGAGGCAGGCCTGCATGCCACCATTGAAATAAAAGTGGAGGTAGTCTTCCCTTGGCCTACCATAAATTCTAACTGGCACTTTGGAGAAAGAAATTCACCAATAAAAATGAGAGGAATTACTTATCACTTTGCTTTTTAAGGTCACATGAAGGGTTGATTTTGGTTAAGTAGGCAGCTATTGGGTACATTGGAACCTGGATTTTTGTATAAATTGGTATCTGAATCAAACCAGGGTGCCTTGGTATTATTCAACATGTTGATAAGGTGAGGGATAAGCTTCTTCTTTGCCTTCTGTTATGCGGGAAAATCTCAAAACTGGCCAGGGTTGTCAGGAGCAATGGAATCTGGGGGCAGGTGAGGGCTAGGAAGGAAATGGAAAACACTAAGAGATTCCAGCAGCTACTAAAGCATGCAGTGCTGCTGAGTCTCTACTGGGAATTGTTTTCATTCCCTCTAAGCCCAGAGAGTTGCCAGGCTGCATAGAGAAACTGTCCCAGAATGGAAACACTAGACCAGTAATCTCATGTTCAAAGCTCTGATTCTCAGCTCTGCCACTGGCATAAGTCATTCAATCTATTGAAGCTGAAGCTAAGACTGGCAGCCAAGCTTTCAAAACCAATGCAGCTCATCACCCACTCTGCTCCTCTCCTTGGAGTTGTTTTAAAGAACAAGTTGTCTGAACCCCAGTAACCTAAGCTTAAACAGATCAAGCTGCCAGAACCTCCCAGGTGGGAAGAATGAATGTACAAGTAACCTTCAGTCATCAGAGATGGAGAGTCCTCTCCTCTAATGCCAGCTCTAGTGCTGACTCATCTGTGACTAGGGTGCGTCACTTCATCTCCCCCTAGGGACTGTTCTATCTCTCGCTGAAGAAAGAGGAGCCCCAGTGAAAACCTCAGCAAACTTTTATGTGGAGAAGTCACTCTGGTATTTCTGCTCCAGTACTGGTACAGAGATGTCTGGGGTTTAGGCACTCTAAAATAATACGGGATTACGTTTGAAACACCTTCCAGAAGCAACCACTGATAATATACATCATTGTATTCTTGTGCCATTAATGTCTTTTCCTATGTGTGTTTATAGGTATCTATATTTAAACAAAATTTGGATAAATCTATAATGACAATCACTTAAAATGCATATTCATGAACACTCTTGTACACATTCTTTTTAAGAGCCACATTGGATATTTGCAATTGTTTAATAAGTACTCTTATCAGGTCCATTTCACAGATAAGAAAGCCAAAGCATAGACAGTTGAAGGGGCTTGCCCAAGGTCACACAGCTAACAGATCCAAATTCAAGTCTATGTGACTTCTAAGCCCATATTTTGAAACAATCATGCCATTTCACCAAGGGGGGGAAAGTACATCTTTTCTCTTGTTTTCTATTGAATACCGATTTTTTCTAAAATCTGTGTCAAAATTCCTTTGAGGACTTGAGTAACTCACTTACATAGACAAGAACTCTGGTAGAGGTAGGACTTTAAATTACTGAATTTAAATGCAACTAACTGATCAGTCTTGGTCAAAGGGCTGAAGACTCTCCTAGTGGCTAAGTTCAATATACCAGTTAATCTGGACACCCCTGTTCTCAAGACATGCTCTTAAAGTATGATAGTTCATTTAATTCACACAACTTGTGATCTAGATAGATTGTGATCTAAGTTGGCTCCCATTGCATACATTAAAAATTGAGACTTCCTAATCACTAGAAAAACACCAGATAAACCCAAGTCAAGAGACAGTTTGTAAAATACCCAACTAGTACTCCTCAAAACTGTCAATGTCATAAAAAAGGAAAACCTAAGAGGTTGTAACAGAGCAGAGGAAACAGAGGGACATGTCAACTACATGCATTAAGCTATCCTAGATTAGACCCTAGAACCAGTAAAAAAGTAAGGAAAATTTAGGGGAAATCTAAATACAGTCTCAAGTTTGGTTAGTAATGACATAGCCAGGTTGGATTCTCAGTTTTGACAAATACAACGTGGTGACACAGATAATGACATCAGGAGACACAGACCCATATGGAAGTTGTATGGCCTATCTTTGCAGTTGTTTTGTAATCTAAAATTATTCCAAAATAGAATTTTACTTATAAACATATTAAAAGGTAGTCCTTATGCAGGAAAGAAAGCAACAGTGCAATAATAGAGCATGAATATGACGGCAACTGGGCATTCCTTGTCCCAAGCGTCCTAGAACACCAGCAGTGACTTCACATCTACTGCACATGTGATTTAAAAATACAAATCCACTTATAACAAGCATTCTGTGTTGATGTCACCATGTGTGTTTGGGCTATTTTAACCCCTGATGTAGAAACAGGAACCTTCTTGCCCCTCTTTCATGGTTCCCCAGAGACCCATGAGTGCCCCTGATGTACATGTGTATGTATGGTGGGCAGTCCCCTCCCAGTCAACAGCTTTTTGAGACTGGGAGCTGTTCCCCTTGAGCCTTGCTGTAAGTTTGCCTGACTTGGGAAGAGCAGGATAAACAGCTGCTAGGAGCGTCCTCTGCAGGGAGCTGTCCTCGCCTGGTACTGATCTCTGACTCTGCATGCAGGAGGTTGTTCTATGAAGCTGGAGGAGCTGGGACTCGAGCCAGGTCTCTGTGGAGAGTGGAGCCTCTTCGGATAAGGTAACGGAGGTTGGAGGTTGGGGTAGTGTTCCCTCCAAGAGGGCCGGCTTTCCACTTAAGTCCATTCATTGAAATATTTGACTTGCTCCACATCACCTGGCAAACTCTCCAAACTTATAAAATTTCTGTGGTTGCTTTTTTAAGAGTAATATATGCACGTACACAAGCACACAAGCGATTTCCAGGCCCTGTTTTTGGCTCTGGGGCCAGGTGGCCCCTGCTTGTGCAAGCACTGCGTAATAAAAGGCAAGCTCAGCATGCCCTGAATGCTGTCAGACTTCTTTTTCCAATAGTTTTCTGAAACCAGTTCTCTGGAACCAGACACCCTTCTTCTCCTCTCAGTTGACAAGTTGGTTCCAGTGGAAAGTTACCTGAAAATGACAGGTAATCATAGTGGCACAAGTGAAAGAGATCAAAGCATCACTGGAAATGCAGCTGTGAAGAAAGTACATTTACCAGAACTTTTCAGAGTCCGTAGTGTGCCTGGCAGGGAGAACGGGAGGCCAACTTTCCAGCATGAACTTGAATGATGTGTCCACAGACTCTGACACCTGACAGGCCATCCAGTTGAGTGCAGGTCCTTTAATTTTCTGAGCAGTGGATAAATTGGGCTGGAGCTGACCTGCTGGAGACAGAGAGGAGGGTGAAGCATTGCCATTCAGTTCTCCTCCTCTGCCTTCTTCCCCAGTGCTTAGTTAGTTTCCTGAACACATGTTCAAAGGAAAAGCCTCTCTTGTGTGTGGAGGGTGGGTGCCCCCAAGGGGTGTTTAAGAAAACCCACTGGAGACGAGAAGAGAAGAAAGTATTAAAACTTCTCTCCCCAGCACACACAGACATACAGACACACACAGACATACAGACACACACAGAGAAATGCATACATGGACATACAGACACACACAGACATACAGACACACACAGAGAAATGCATACATGGACATACAGACACACAGAGAGACAGGCACACACACAGACACATGCAGAGAAATGTACATAGAGACATATAGACACACAGACATAGAGACACACACAGAGACATACAGGCACACACACAGACACACACAGAGAAATGCACAAGCAGACATACAGACACACACAGAGACATACAGGCACACACACAAAGAAGTGCACACACAGACATACAGACACACACAGATATATAGACATGCGCAGACATACAGGGCACACACAGAGAAATGACACATATACATGGAGAGATACACACAGACACACAGGCATACACACAATGAGAAATACACACACAGACATACAGACACACACAGAAATGCACACAGACATACAGACACACACAGACATATAGGTACATATGCAGAGCATGCACATGCACACACAGACATACAGACTCACACACAGAGAGAAATGCACACAGAGACACAGACACACACAAAGCAGCTGGAGATTGCTGACTTAAAGAATAGTGGTTTGGGTATAATTGAAAAAAAATTGTATATATTAGTACTTTAAAAGAAATACTGGTTTTAAGGAGCCCACATTTATTAATTGCCTTGAAGCATCTGCATTCTCTTTCTAGACTTGTTAACAATTAAAAGGTAGTATATCCTTTTCTCAGCCTTGCTTCTTTCTTAATGAACTTTAAAAATACAAGAGAGGTATGTCTTGTTATGTTTGTCACTTTCCCCCAAGCCCTAAATATGAGGAATTTAAGCCTTTTATAAAACCATGTGACTTGGATTCACTGATGCTCCAAAGAGTTGGAAAAGCAGAGAGTGATTTTAAATCTTGACATGTGTATCTTATTCTGGCATCTTATTTCAACTTGAGATTCATTTCAAGTTACTGGTTATTCTGTGGATAATCTCTCCACTGAATAATTTCTAACACTTGCCAAAACTTTTTTGTTTGACTGTTTCTCTTGATGATAGGATTATAGTAGTAAAATGTTTGAATTTAGACAAGACATTTGGAAAGGTTTGCCTCCCCAGAAATAAGTTTTCTTGTTTCTGGAAAACCATTCTTTTTGTGGTTATTCGCATTAAGACATTTCAGGAGAGAGGAGGAAAACTGTAAACTTGGGATTTGTGGTCATAGTAAACTATTGCTTGCCTCAGGGCCATTTAAAGGTCTTTAAGAGAGGTACAAAGAGAGCACCAAGCCAAGTTGTAGGCAGAATTGAAATCCTAGGCCAAGCCAAGAGACTGATAACCGTTCCTTAACCTTGAGCCCAAGAGGGGCCATAAGTTTGCTGGTAGGTGTAAGAAGGCACAGAGAAAATGTTGAAAAGAACTTACTTTCATCTAAACAAATCTTCTGTCCATCAGCTGGAGCAGCAGCAATGTCAGGTGGGGCCAGCCTTTCCGACTCCGGCATCTCACCACAGGCCACTACTTGGCCTTGACAGAGGACCAAGGCCTTCTTCTGCAAGACCGGGCAAAGTCAGACACCAAGTCCACAGCCTTCTCTTTCCGGGCATCCAAGGTAAAATGTAATGAGGTGGGCTTAGACCCTGGTCTAGTAGTGAATTCTGAAGCCTCCAGGTAGTGCTCTGACTGTAAAGAATGGAGACCGAACAAAGTGAAATTAGAATTAGACCTCTGATAATCACATTCTTCTCTTGAGTTGAGTCCTTGCAGGAATGTGTAACTTGGAATAAGAGTAAAAAAAGACTGGAAATCCCTAAAATCACATAGATAACATGAGTGGGCACTGCTGCTCAGAGACTGATGGAAAAATGCCATTGTTGTTCAAGACATGTTAAGTTGTTTTCAATAACTTGTAAGTTGTGTTTCACTCCTGTAAAACAATGGAGGTATGAGGGTCAGAGCGGCATGTATTTGAATCGTTATTAATACATGATAATTAATAATGATTCAGAAAAGTTATTTCAGAAAGATTCAGAGAAGGCATAATTCTGTCCTCTTCCTGCAGCTGTTCATGTTACATAAGGTTCCTGGTGTAACAAAGCTCCCTCATCCTCAGCTTTGTCCTGTCTACCACTAACCCTCCACTAACAGTGGATCCCAAGCTAGTTAGGTTAAATGTGTATTTCATATACTCATTAATAAGAAGTATAAAGTAAGGTTGGATTCTGCATGACTCCAAGCTGGATGTAGTTGGGTAGTCAGAATTGCATGCGGTAGCTAACTTCTGATGGACAGCTGGCTGCTCTGCTGTTCTGTGGTTCTGGAAAGGACCGTCGAAGCATAGAAAAGACCATGCACAGACATGTGCAGTATTCAGGAAGTCTGCACTTCTGAGAAGGCAGCTCAATAATCTCCTGTGGAAGCTTCATCTCTAGTTTCATTCTCCATTGATGTTTTCCAGAAATAGACTTTGATTTGTGTTCTCAACACAATTTTGGTGAAGGGTTTTTGATGATTCTGTTCACGTAGGTACTTGGCTGCTGAGTCTTCTGTGGGGCATTACTGCTTCCCAAGCCTCAGAAAAGAACAGTCTTCCAGCATTTCTCTTTTTGAAGCAGGGGATAAACATCCTTCCCCTTTCTTTTTATGGTTCTATGCTTCTTTAAGGCAAGGAAACTCTTTGGCATAGCTTTTTTTTTTAATTCCCCTAAATTGCCCTACATTAAAATTTGGCTTTTTCCACATTCATATTTCAAACATTAAAAACTCTGGGCTTCCTGACCATCTCTTCCTAGAGTCCCCCTTAATGGCACCTTCTATCTACTACTCATCTGATGTCTTATTGGCTACTTGGCTTCTTTTTTGTTTTATTTTATTTTATTTTTACTTTTTGGCATTACAAGGGTTGGAATTCAAAAGCTTGTGCTTATTAGGAAGATGTTCTACCAACTGAGCCAAGACCCCAGCCCTTTCTGCTTTAGTTTTTAGTAAAGGTCTAACTTTTGCCTGTGGCTAGGGATCCTCCTACCTCTACCTCCCACATAGCTGGGATTATAGGCATGGACCACCCCATGCTCAACTTGATTTTCTGAGCACATCTCCTTTCTGGTGCCATAAGTAGTTTTAGGGGAAGTTTGTTTGTTTGCTTTTTAGATTCCCAGCACAAGAGAGATTTTAAATTCAAATTTATGCCGTCTTAGTAAACTTTTTGGCCTCTAGTAGGTAGTTAGTATAACATGATAAAAGAATCAAAGAAAAAAAGCAACAGAAAAGTTGTAAGAACAGAGGTAGGCAGCATCTCCCCTAAGAGATACCTGGGATGTAGGGTGGGGCATGAGAGCTGATGGAAGTAGGGACACAAAGTGGAAATAGAGAAATGACTCATCATGGCTGATGAGCAACAACGTACTTTTCTGAGAATACCATCCGGGCCCTTTCCTGAGCTCAGCACTCTACGTCTTTGTCCTCACCCAGTCGAGATGTGTTGGCAAAAAAGCAGTGACCCCAAGGTCTTTTCTGTATCTCTTGCAGTAGAGGAATCAAGCAGCTGCCAGAAACCTGGTCCCAGGAAACTTCCATTCCATTCCTTTCTTGGCTCAGCCACGTGGAGCATGGCTCAGCACTGTGTCATGGTCTCTGGGGGAAGCCAGAAAGGCTGCAAGCACCACAGGGTCCTTACAACACTCCCACCACCTGGCACCCCTTCTTGCCTCCATAGTTTATCTCCTCATTCCTTCCATTTTCATGCATAATATGGAGATAAGCAGTGATGACTGCAAAGTCATCCCAGTACCATGAAGGCCACCAGTATAGCAGAGCTGAAGGTAAATTTACCCTGCACACTTAACAGTGTGTTCTTTGGAGCCACTGTGTTTGAGGTCTTAAATAAGACTCAGCACACAGCACTCAGCCCAGTTACCTTCATTTCCATTTGAAAGACATAGAAATTAAAATTACTTAGGCCTCATGGCAGGGCACAAATGTCTGTGTTCCCACAGGAAACTGGGCTTCCTTGGGATGTCTTGTGGGAGAAGCATTTGGCATTTTAGTCTGTGAAACCATATGAAAATAGGAAGACCATGTTGGGAGCACACAGCTCTGCCACCCACCATCCATGTAGGCCTGGTTTCTCGGGACCTCCTCATGGCTCCTTAGCAATAAGCTCATTGCAGGCAATCTTCCTTTAATGTACACCAGTTCTTCCTCTCCATGAACAAAACTGGAGACCCCCCAAAACAGGTTTGAGATTCTAGTTTTCCACATTACAAGGACATAAGGTCATCTTGCCAATCCTGCCTGTCACGGGTGTTTGGCCACACAGTAAGCAGCAAGCAGTAGCCTGAGATAGCATTTTAGGATCTTGGTGGTGCAGGGCTTAGGGTCATCCTGTGGAAAGACAGAGAGAGGGACACAGTGAGCTGTGTTGTATGTGAACAGAGCGGGGGAGGAAGTGGGGTGTTCAGCTGACCCTCTCTGTATGCTAGCCAGTCTAGTAAACAGAAAGAGGCTCACAAGAGGAGCACTGTTTTGGCTTCAGTTGAACATTCCGAGAGGATGCTGGGATTGCTAGGCTGGAATCATTTGTGATGACAAGCTTCTTACCCTCCATTTTCGGTCAGGTCACATTACCCTGTGACAGCTATGACCCCTAATCCCGGGGCCACAGAACAGCTGCAGGTGCATGATAATTTAGTAAGCTGCCCTTACAAGGATGGTGACAGATGACCCTGGGGTCTCAGGTATGCCATAGATGGGAGTGTGAATCCAAGCACCAGTTGCAGTTACTGGTCTGGGCTTGGCCCAGGTGGAATCAAACTGAGGTCTTTGGGCAAGCTCTGAAGCGTGTAGGATAGTGAGTAGAATGTCACCTCAGTTAAGGCTCCTCCACCCCCACTCCAGCAAGAAGATGTAAATCAGACTGGAGGTCTGCAATGCATTGCTGCCACTAAAATGTAGCACCCCACCTTTATTCTGAAAAGAGTATAGTGTGAGGTACTTCACAGCTTCAGAATTGCCTAGATCTGGCCTTGACTCCCAGCTACTGTTTGTGAGACCCAGAAGACAACTTAAATCTATTTACACCTCATTTGGAGTCTATCATAAAGGATTAGTCCATATCTGACCCCTATCTGCCCTTGCACTGCAACTCTTAACATTTACTAAGGTTTCCTTGAACTCCATTATACTAAATATCTATCAGTCATTGAACAGGTTTATTTTTTCCTCACCATCAATCCATTCCTGTAAAGCCTCTTACCTCTCTGCACACCACATCTAGCAACTCCTTCTTGTCCTTCCAGACAAGTGTCAAGTGCAGCTTATGAGAGGAAGAAACCTCATTCATGCTTCTGCTACAGCCATCACCTCTTGACCAGGAGCTCCTGGAGGACAAGGACTGCACATAACCCCTGCCTGTCCTTGGGGGTTTTGTTTGTTTGTTTGATTTGCATCCCAGCACCTCCCACAGTGTGTGCCATGTAATGTCTGAATATGGTTTGCTGAAGGAATACAAAGATACATTCTTCAGCCACCAAAGTAGACTGAAATTCATTTCAGTTTAATCTCCATCTTCATAGAAATGTTCTATCATCATTGTGTGATCATTTTTGCTATCATAATCCTGTTCCTATACACATTCACTGAGAGATTCATTTCATTTTGAACATTTGAGTCAGATTTCTATGAATTTGATTTCACATCATTTTTCCATGGTCTTGACATTGCAGGGCCATTCCCTGTGCTTTGCCAGATAATGGGATTAATATTTACTCTGGCAGTGCTATTTAGATGTCATGTCTCAATGTTGGTTTACAGTTTCTCTCAGGAAATGGTGAATAACAATGTTAAAGTATACCTTATTACACATAGCCACTCTAAAAGTGCTTTAAAAATCTACTTTAAATGGCCATACTATAAGTCTTGACATGATTGAGATAGAATCTCAAATATTGCCTATTTCATTGTGTAAGGGCATAGAGCTATCACAGTTCCCAATTACAGGAATTTTTCCTCAATGCCAAGAACACTAAATTCAATTTAGGGAGCATTTATCAAATACCTGCTACATGCTAAACACTGGGTTCCTGGCTAAGCGTGACTTTTATGCACTCTTTGACCTCCGCACCCTTTGAGCCTGCAGAAATCCCACACAAGGAAGCAGCTGGGCCCATGGTGCATCAGTCTGCAGACACCTTGGTGCTAAAGCAATGCTGTTTTGCCTGCACCCTCAGGAGTCATCCTCTAGGGAGAGAGAGGGCATGGAGCAATTGAGGGAAGGGTAAAGGAGAAAGCATGGACAGTGAGATCAAAATACCTGGAGACAACAGAACTTACTGCTGTTTTACTTTAAATAAAACAGACAAAGGATTTTTAAGTTTCAAACTGATGTGCTTCCCCTGGTCCTTGTTGTTCAAAGTGGCCCAGTCAGGAAAACCATGGGCCATGACATGGAAGAAACCTATATTTGGACCCTGGCTCTGAATTTGCAGTTCAGCCTTAATGTCTCATTTTGTAAAATGGATAAAGGAAGATAAAGTAGTATTTCTTGAAGGATTATCATCAGGATTGAGTGAAATCAAGGGGGTGACCTGTGAGGCTATTTCCTTATCCACAAAA